CTCCTTCTGCTCCTTCTCCTCCTTCTCCTCCTTCTCCTCCTTCTGCTCCTTCTCCTCCTTCTGCTCCTTCTGCTCCTTCTGCTCCTTCTCCTCCTTCTCCTCCTTCTCCTCCTTCTGCTCCTTCTCCTCCTTCCCCTCCTTCTCCTCCTTCTGTTCCTTCTCCTCCTTCTCCTCCTTCTCCTCCTTCTGCTCCTTCTCCTCCTTCTCCTTCTGCTCCTTCTGCTCCTTCTCCTCCTTCTGCTCCTTCTCCTCCTTCTCCTCCTTCTGCTCCTTCTCCTCCTCCTCCTTCTGCTCCTTCTTCTCCTTCTTCTCCTTCTGCTCCTTCTCCTCCTTCTGCTCCTTCTCCTCCTTCTCCTCCTTCTGCTCCTTCTCCTCCTCCTCCTCCTTCTGCTCCTTCTTCTCCTTCTCCTCCTTCTGCTCCTTCTCCTCCTTCTCCTCCTTCTGCTCCTTTTCCTCCTTCTCCTCCTCCTCCTTCTTCTCCTTCTTCTCCTTCTCCTCTTTCTTCTTCTCTCTCTCTCCCTTTCTCCCTCCTTCCCTCTCTCCCCCTCTCTCTTCTCTCTCTCTTTCTTCTTTCCCCTTCCCTTTCTTTGGTACCTCCCTCTGGTACCGAGGAGGGGATCTTTGGTACCCGTCAGCCCTTCAACCTAGCATCTTTTGTCCAGACATTTCAACGCACTGTACTGTGCCTTGGGGGTTCCCGAAATCCTACTCTCACCTTGGTAAATAGTTCCTGTATCAAACACTCATCAAGTCATCCAGGTTGAGGAGGCCACATGCTTCCTGCCAGGATCTGGACCAATAAAGTCGAAATTCTACTAGCAAAGGGATGCCCCAACGTGGAGTCCGGAATGGCTGCATGTAAAATGGATTGAACACGGAAAACCTACGTGAAAAGGAGGCCAGATCCTGGAGAGCCATGCTTGCCCTGTCAGGATATCTGGACTTTATTTCTCCCCATGTACAACAGGAAACATTGGCAGGGTCTGAGCGGGGAAGTCAGATAATTGTAAGACCACATTTTTAGACAATTTGCCGCCAGAAGGTGTAATGTACATGCACAGAAAGACTTAGAAGGCAATAAAAATGCATACACTGTGATTCTGGAAATCCATTTCTTAGGGATGCATCACAAAGAAATAATTAAAAACAGGCACAAGGATTTAAATGCAAGGATCGTTACTAAAGTGCTATTTCAAAAATTAAAAATGGTGAATAACCCACATTTCTAGTAAGTAACTCAAATTTCAATGTGGGAAAATATTATATAGTCTCTTAAACTGATACTACCAATGTGTATCTATTGGCTTGGTAAAATATTAGGATTACATTGCTAAATTAAAATAGGATCTTAAAAAATGACCAATAATTTGGTATATGTGTGTGCTTGTTTATATGGAGAAATGGTTAATAGGATATACACCAAATTGGTATTAAAAACCATTTTTCCGGGGCTCCTGGGTGGCTCAGTCAGGTAAGCATCTGCCTTTGGCTCAGGTCATGATCTCAGGGTCCTGGGATCGAGTCCGGCATTGGGCTCCCTGCTCAGTGGGGAGTCTGCTTCTCTCTCTCCCTCTCCCTCTGTGCTCTCTCTCTCTCTCTCTCAAATAAATAAAAAAAAACTTAAAAAAAATTTTCCTATAATGAGCATGTATGACCTGTGTAAACAAAGAAACATTTTGTAATTGTCAAGGGTAGAGCTTTTGAGGACCTTGATTAGCGTAGTGACGGCAGGAATGGGAAGGCGGGCGTTGCTGACACCGTGCCTGTAGGCTCACATAACTTGGCCACTGGATAAAAAAGCCAGGTGACCCTACATCACAGTGCCACAAGAGAAACCTGGGAGTCTTGGACGTAGCACACTGCTTCCTACATCTTGATTGAGGTTAGTAAGGGTGTTATCGATGACTTGGGCAAGAAAAAATGTCCTGGAGACCAGTTTGGCAAGCCAGATCATCGAGTCCAGTTACTGAACACATACAAACAAGTCACTGGTGACATCCACAGTTTCAGGGTCTTTAAGTAAACTAAGTCTACAAAGGGTATGTAGACACTGCCAAAGAAGAAGGAAGCCTTAGCCTGGCATTGGAAAATGAGTTCAGGAATTGGCTAAAATATTGGAGGTATTCTTTGTCTTCTCTCCATTTTAGAACTTTAGAGACATGACCATCTGGGACCTGTCATCCTCTGGAAATGAGTGTTTCACCTCTGAATTCTTGTGCTTCAAACACCAACCATGACATTGTACCTTTCCACTTCTGTCACTCTGCCTCAGGGTAGGTTCTTCCAACCCACTCAAGTCACCCATATTTTTCAATTCCTTCTGGTTATTCATGTTATGTATGTATGTGTATTGATATACATGAATTCCCTTTCCCATATGTGTATAGATGTATATATGTGTATGTTTGTGTATATGTATACATAGATATATTTCAAGTGCTCACTCTGTTTGCCAAATATTGTTCTAAGCAACTTATGTGCACTATCCCTTTCAGTTCTTACTGCAACCCTGCAATACAAATGCTATTATTATTTCTATTGTCAGATTAGGAAACTGAGGGGTTAAAAGGCTGTTTAATGCCCTGAAGGTTCCTGTGCCAGAGGATAAATATACTGTTCAGGTGGATCCTGAAGAAAAAGAAGATGTGAAAAGTTGTGCCGAGTTTTTGTCTCTCTCAAAGGCCAGGATTGAGGAATATGAAAAAGGGCTGGAGAAGATGAGAAACATAATTCCATTTGATCAGATGACCATTGAGGACCTGAATGAAGTCTTCCCAGAAACCAAATTAGACAAGAAGTATCCCTATTGGCCTCACAAGCCAAGTGAGAATTTATAAACTTGAGGTGGGGAGAAAGCTCTGGCCCTTGTATTGTAAATGCTGGACATTAAAAATAATGATACGGTAAAAAAAAAAAAAAAGGCTATGTAACTTGCCAAAGGCCTTTAGAGATAGTAAAGGTAGAGTTGGATTTAAGCCCAGGTCTGACTGACTCAGCCTTTTTAAATACTCCACGATGTCTGGAAGATTGTCAGGAAGATATGTACCAAATGTTCAGTAATTACTTTATCAGGTTGGGGTTGGGGGAACCCCAAATTTCCATGTTTGTTATTTTGTTTTGTTTAGATTTCTAACAACAGGAATGTATTACTACACCTTAACTAGAAAAAAAAAAAAAAAAACCTTCTTTCAAATTACCATCAATTCCCTTATTTTCTTTGCCTTTGGCCAATCTTCTCTCCAATTTTCCAAGATCAGATAAGCCTCCTCTCTGGCCTTGTTCCTGGAATAACAAACATCACGGGGAGAAGCACATGACCAGACCGACTTACTCCATGACTAAGGAGTGAATTTCAGCCACCATGGGGCTCAGAAAGCTTCAAACATCCTCAGTCAGAGCCCATGACCATCCCCCAGATTGTCACCTCATGCTCTCTTGCACCCAAGCTACAGCCCTATCTCTTTCCTTTTATTTTCCATCAAATATCTTAAAGGTGGTCTACACGCCTTGTCATTGTATCTCCATTTCTACTCCTTACTGAGTCTCTGCCTTCACCCTTCTATTATGATGCAGTTAGTTTTAGCAGTCATTTGCCTTCCTAATTGCTGAGCCTCATGACACTTCCTTCAATCTTCATTCATCCTATTTAATCAACAGTGTTGGTGATACTTAACCTTTTAAAACCTCTTTTCTCTCTTGATTTCCACAGAGCTTCTCTCTCTCATTCTCTATCCTCACTTTGACTAACCTCTCTCAGTTTCATTCACTAGCTCCTCTTCCTCCTACTGTCCACGATTGCGATGTTCTTCAGAATTCTGTCTTCTACCTCTGCTTCCTCTGCAAACCCTCGATGGCTAATCCCATGCGTTCTCAACATTTTCACTTCCAAATAAATGACTTGTGCCCAGAGACTGAGACGGAGCTTCAGACCTGTGTGACCAACGGCCCAGGAGATGGCTCCACCCAAAGGTGCTAGCTCCCTGTAGGGAAAGAAAGGCTCATTTTGTAGTGTTTGTGGTTTCTGTGGCATGAAGCCCTCCCTCTGTGTGATTTCAAGATATCAGTGTGAAGTCACTGAATACAGAGCTGGAAAGAAATGTGCACAGACAGCTGCTGAGCGGGAATAAGATCAAATCCACCCACCACTTGGGCAAGTGGCAAAGGCTCTTAAACATTTTTTTGACATATGGTAAAAAATACATTCTATGTCAGTTACCTATGTATGTATACAGTGAAAGCAAAGTTTCTGTGAAACAACACTTAACCTTATCACATGTGAAATACTTTAAAATCTGTCATGTTCCATTTCATTAAACAATATTTGTCTTGGGGGGTGTGCCTGGGTGGCTCAGGTCTTGATCTCAGGGCTATGAGTTTAAGCCCGTGGAGCCTACTTAACAATAAAAAATATTTTGTCTCAACTCACCACGTACATTTAATAGGCCCTTAATGGTTCATGACTCCCAATTTAAAAACATCAGCCTCAGGTCTTTCAGACTCAGTGTATACAGAGTTGTGGTTATTATCTCACTTTTACAAACTGTTCCTTTTCCCAAGTTTCCTTTCTCAATTAATGGCTCCATCACCTACCTGGCTTCCCCAGCTAGAGATCCCAAGGCCATTCTGGACTCATCCCTCTACTGTCTCCTTCACCCCTTGCTGATATCTCTTAAGTAGATCTTCCTATCTCCGTTCCCACTGTCACTATCCTGGTTTATACTATCACCTTTCACCCCATAGCCTCCTAATTCACCCCCTGTTTTCAGTTTCTCCAATCTTGATGCATCTTTTTAGTAGAAAATTGTCTTCCAGAAACCAGTAATGCTACTGCTCAGCTTACAAATGTTGATGGCTCCCCATTGCCCCAAGACATTTTTCATTCATTTAGAAAACATTTTTTTTTGGGGGGGGCAACTACTGTGTGCTAGGCTCCATATTGGATGCAGGGGAATAAAAATGACATTAGACCCTGTCATTAAGGAGCTCACAGTCCAAACCCCATTGCGTTACTCAGAAGACTCTGTTGTTAGTGCCAACTCACCTTGTCATCCTTCCCTTCTGTGCCATCCAATCTATGAGGCTTGCCAATTGCTGAATGTCAAGTTCCCAAGGAATAGTGCTCACTTTTAGGCCCTGTGCCTTTGCTTATGTAATTCCACATTCTATTCCAGCACGCCACACGCTCTTGCTCTCTTTCTTCCAGATGACTCCCTACTCATTCCTACTCATTCACAAAAGTCTTGGGGAAGCCTTCCTTTTCACACACTCTTATTCTTGAAAAGTTTTAAATACTTAGTCACTGTAATCATGCACATACTTCAAATAGTTAAATTGTTCTGAAGGACGAAAACATAAAAACCAGGCCCTCCCACCTCAGCCCACCCCAACCGCACTCCAATTCCCCAAAGATAATCACTCTTAACAGTGTTTCTTGTTGCACTTCTGGTGATCTCCATGTGTTTCCAAAATAATATGCTGTACTATTATTTCTTGGTGTATCATCTTAGGCACTATCTAATTTCTAGTAGGAGAGTGAGCATTTAGCTCACAAACACACTGGCCCTATCTCTTCTCTTCCCTGAGCCTTCTGACAGAATTACATCTGTATACTCGGGCTCTCTGCTGCTCTCTCCACAGCAGAGTTACTACGCATCTAGACCTTTACTTCTGTCCTACTGACTGTAAACAGTATCCCTTGACTCTCAGTTTTCTAAAATGAGACCTTTAGTAACCCAACCTTCTGTCCACCCTGCTTCCCACTTCTTTCTCCTTCTGCCTACCCACCTTTACTTTTACATTTAAAAAATTAATCATATCTCCATTCTCTTGCATAATCATAGTTAATTCTACTTTGGCTTGTTTATAAGGTGATTCTAAAAGTTGAAAACCAATAAGCAATGTTCCCACTATGAAATTATGTGAATGTTGTTCCTTATAGTCTAGTAGAGCTCTGATTATACTTTCTTCTCTGGGCCATTCAGAGAAGTATATTCTTGGACTTCTGGTTTAAATGTCTCTGTGTTAGATACCACCCAGTAGTCCAAAATCAATCTATTGCAAGCTGTGTCACACTAGTAGTATGCCTTTTCTGGACATTTCCTCCCTTGGAGCTCCTACTTTTAATTTTTTTAATTTTAAATTTAATTAACTTAATGTTTTAATTTTTTCCTTTGCATCCATCACCATCTAAGAGCCCCAGGGGTTTCCAAGTTCCTAATCAAAATTTCAGTTGTATTGAATCCCATTTTCTCCACCAGTTTATTATTTTCATCAGGATAGGTTGGCTTCCAGGTTAAGCCTAGCTGTCATCCTGGAATTCCCTTGCTCTGCTCACCTGTGTTGGAGCCTCTTCTCCTTGGATCCTGTGCAGCGAGGATAGTTTTGACTTCTACCCTTTCCAAGGACGATTAATAACTCACTTTTCTGAATTTTTGCAGTCCTGTGTCTACCTAATGAGATAGCACTCTGTGTTGTGATTTCCTTAGCCGTCAAGTCAGAGTTTGAAATAGTAACTGACATACATTGGCCCTTAATAAATACTATTTGAAAATACTCTTAAACACATTATTACTATTTAATCCAATATCTTGATTGAAGGGAGAGTCATCAGTTTTGCTTATATTACAGAAATATATAAGCACTGTTATGTTGATGGGAAATAGGAGTAAGAAATAAGAAATAGCTCAACAAAGAATCAACTTATAAAAACAAGTACACAATTTTTTTTCCTTTACTACATAATATTAAAACAAAATCCATATCAGACCCACTTTTTAATCTGTATGTCCGTGAAAACTTGCCATTCTTTTGGAACGTGAGGCCCATTCTTTATTAATTTCACTGGACTGGGTTGCCAGATAAAATAAAGGATGCCTAATTAAATTTGAACGTCAGATAAGCAATGAAAGATTATTAGTATAAGTATGTCCCATATATTGCATGGAATATACTTACACATACTTATATATGGTTTTTTAGCTTTTTGTTGTTTATCTGAAATTCAATTTTAATGGGTATCCTGTATTTTTACTTGCCAAATCTGGCCACCCTACACTGGATATTTTCTCAGGGCACTAACCTGCTGTCATCAACCAACCACTGTCATCCCAGCAGAGAATCTGGTCTGATTTTGATGGGGCAAGCACAGAGCTGGCATTGAAAGAAACACAATATAGCATACCTGCCTTCCAGACCTGCTTTCAAAGTCCACCACCTTTATAGCTGTGGCACTGAGTCTCCAGCTTCTTCATCTGGTCTTAAGGTCAAAAGGAGAAGGTCCTTAGAGCTCTCTTAAGTAGGGCAAAATGTACCCTTTTGTATTAATATTAATATTACATTAATATCACAGGAGGTTAGCCCAGGAAGTACAGGAAAATGTCATTAAGCTGATACAATTTTATTTAAATTTTCATCTATGGTTAGGTTTAAATAAGTCACTGCTTCTTTAAAAACACTGATATTAGGTAAGAGAGTGAATTCTCAGATGCCCGCTCTGTCCTAGCATTTCAGCCTCTGACTGATGTATTTTGATTAGCTCCATTTTACTGATGAGGAAACTGAGAAGCTGAAGAGATTAAAAAAAAAAAAAAAAAAAAAAACTGGCCCAAGTCCTGCCACTAAGTGTGAGAAATGAGCTATAATCCATGCCTTGTTACTATAGAGTCCTCAGAATAAAAACAAAATAAATTTCATCTGCAGTTCCGTCACCTCATCAAAACCCAAAAATCACTATTTAAAAAAATACAGAACTTTCACAAGGTCGCCCATGAATCTCCAACTATTTTCCCGGAGTCTCTAAATGAAGCTTTAAATGAATACGTTTTAGTTAGAAGGTGGACGGAGGAGAAAGCACTGGAAAAGGAAGGAGGGAATTTCAGTTAAACCCCAAGTAACTGGATTAAACCGATTTATGAGATTGCCCCTTCTTCCAGCATTTCGCGTCAGAAATGCCCTTCTGATTGCCCCCCCCTGTAGCTCCACGCAGAAATGAAACTGAGCCAGCGGCAGGCCTTCCAGGCCCGGGCCCAGCGCACGTATTTCTGAGTCGGGGGTCTAGCGCACAGGGCACGGAATTGAGGAATGGGCACGGTCTTTCAGATTACACATGGAAGCAGAGTAACTCGAAAGTTGGTAGGACAGACCAGGTTGGCTCGATGCCGAGGGAAGCAGGGAGCAGATCTGATTGGAATGAAGTCTGAGAAGAGAAATCGGGCGGCACAGCACCCGCCCTCGGCACGTTTGGGTCCACCGCGGGGCTTAAGTTAACCGGAGGGTGCGGGTGGCGGGACCCCGGGCCCGGGGAAGGTGCTGGGTGCGCCTGAGCGCGCTGGCGTCCCAAGTGCCTCTGCCTTTGGGAGGCCGGTGGCCACACGCTCCTCCCCGTCCCTCCTCCCACAGCGCCGGGGCGGACCGAGGGCCAAGCCGAGGCGCAGCCCACCTACCGGCCGCGCGCCCGCGGTGACTGAGACTGCCAGAGGCCCCCAGCGCTGGCGGCGAGGAGCAGCCGGGCTCGGCGCGCTCCGGTCCGGGGGCCCTGGTTCCGGCGAGCAGCTCACCGCAGCACCCGGGTGAGGAGGGAGCGCGGGGCGAGGCGGGAGGCCGCGGAGGTGCGGGGCGCGATGGGCTCGGGCTGGACCCGCGCGGCGCGGGAGGACGGCGATCCCGGAGCGGACAAGGCCACGGGCGTGGGGGACTGGGGGTGGGGGGCAGGAACCGCACCATCTCCTGCCGGGGGCCGACTCGCTGTCCCTTCCCCCTCGCGACAGCGCTGGGATCTTTACGGGGAGGGTGACGGAATTCGAACCCAGTTCTCTCAAAACCCTTCCCGGAGGAGGCAACCCTAACCTAAGAATTCGGTGCCGAGAGGGAATCAGGAGAACAGGGAACACGGGGAGATTTCTCATCTCTAGATCTCCGCTGGGACAAAACAAACAAAGGAACACCTCTCTTTGCGGAGTATTGCGTTTTTCCGGAGCCCAGTTCAGAGTAGCTGTTGTAGGACCAGAACTGTAAGAACAAGCACTACCTCTGTTATGCTCGCTTGCTCCGCACATCCCAGAGCTCCCCCACCGCGGCTCAGATAAGATCATGCCTGCTCTATACTGAGTAAAGGGGAAGCTTGCTTATAAAAAGTCAAAGTCCATAGTCTCATTGTTCATCTCTCCATGAGAGACTATGGACTCTGAGAAACAAACAGGGTTTTAGGGGGGATGGGTTAGCCCTGTGATGGGTATTAAGGAGGGCACGTACTGCATGGAGCATTGGGGTTATACGAAAACAATGGATCATGTAACACCACATCAAAAACTAATGATGTACTGTATGGTGACCAACATAACATAATAAAATTTTTTTTTAAATGGAAAAAAAATAAAAGCGGATAAAGAAAAAAATAAAAAAATTAAAAGTCAAACAAAATCAGGTGCAGAGAACACTGTCTTCCCCATCACACTCTGTAGAAGTTTCTAGCTCCCCAAACGAAAAGGTCAGGCTTGCATTCAGGCCTGTGGTTCTTGGGGTTGCTGCAGAGGTGATGAGGAAGGGAGAGGTGTGGGGGGCTCCTTAAGGGGAGCTTGCCAGGTTTTTTTGAAGGACACAGGAGCTCAGGTTTAGGAGAGATTTGTGTGAACAAATCAGTCTTGTGCAAATTACCTTTGACCCAAGTGAGAATCCTGAGCTGGGATACTGGTATGTTAAGTAGGAGCTGGAAAGCGTATCCCTTAAAGTGTTGACAATCCCAAAAGGCTCAGGACCAGATCTTGGGCTCCTATGTAACTCAGGGACCGGGGTATTAAGTATTGACCACCGCAGGGCATGGGTGAGCTGCCGGCACCCCAGCAGATTTCCTCACAGAGGGAATTCTGGTGGTCCCCTAGAAGCTGGTGAGAGAACCCACCTCCTTGGCATTTCCCAGCTTGCACTCACTGCCAGTGGGCCCAGAGGGTTCCTTCCCTTCCCCAGACATTCCTGCAGGAGTTGCTGCTGTGAACGGCATGGTGATGCTTTTCATGGAACTGGGCCCTTTGTACTCAAGGCTGACACCGGGAGTTGTGAGGGTTATTAATCTGGTTCAGCCACTCATTTTACAGTTGGGAAATCCCTTCTGAGGTGTGATAAGGGCTTGCCCAGCACCCCAGGGCTTTCCCGAAAACAGACCCCTCCCTGGGCAGCTGGTTTCTTATTTCCTCTCCATTGGATGTCTGTGCCCTTTGAACTTCAGTAGTGAGGAATATGCAGTGAGGTTTCCCCGGCTAATACAATTTACCATCCTGTTTGAGACTGTCATCATAGAGCAGTAAGGAAAGTGCTAACTAGGTACCTGAGCAGGCGTGGGACCCCTTAGGAATGTCAGCTGGAGTTTAGGAATCTGTATTCCTTTCAGTGACACCCCAGAAAACGGGTATTTCCTGGAAAGGAAGGTGATCGTCAGGTTATTTATACCTTGGTTCATCTTAAGCCTCATCTGATAATTGGCTTGACTGACCTCTTGAGACATTGAGAAATTTCCATGAAAGTGAAGCATTGAAGAGAAAGTATTGAGTGAAGGGCACCTGAAGGGGAACATCCCCTTCCAAAATCACATTGTCCCAAGATTTCACCTGAAGGGGAACATCCCCTTCTAAAATCACATTGTCCCGGGATTCTGAGGAGTCTCTGTATTTTAAAGGAATGGGCAGCAGGTTCTTACTGCCTCTTTCTATGAAGCCAGGCACCTGTCAGGTGCCTTCACTGTCACTTGCTCCATTTTACAGGTATGACTCATAACACACTAATAGAAACAGTCTCATATATAGAGGCTTATAGTTAAAAAAACAAACAAAAAACAACTCAGCAGTTGAGGAGAAAGAAAAAGCCTGCTATTAAGAACCAATACTGATTGGATTAAATGGGCTAGTTGATTCCTAGAGCAAGTTTTTTGTTCGTTCCTCCTTTGGCTTCAAGAGATATTTATTGAGCACCTACTATGTGCCTGGCACTGAGTACAGAGCACTGAGTACGACAGATATGGTCTCTGTCCTTATGGAGTTCACATTCTCGAGTCGAGGGGTGAGCAAGGTAAATTCAGATACTACTAGATGTTTTTAGAGAAAAGGAAACAGAATGCTGTGGTAGAGTACTGTGATGTGTGTGTGCGTGCGTGTGTGTGTGTGTGTGTGTGAGAGAGAGAGAGAGAGAGATGGACAGGTGGGAGGGGCCCCAGCTTCTTAGATGGGGTTTTATTTTTTTTTTTAGATTTATTTATTTATTTATTTGAAAGAGAGAGAGCAAGCAGGGGAAGGAGCGGAGAGGGAGAGGGACAAGCAGACTCCGCACCGAGCCGTGGAGTCTGACATGGGCTCAATCTCAGGACTCCGAGATCATGACCTGAGCCAAAACCAAGAGTCAGACGCTTTAATCAACTGAGCCACCCAGGTGCCCCCTTAGATTGGGTTTTAAGGAGAGATTTTTCTTTTCTTTTCTTTTCTTTTTTTTTAGGATTTTATTTATTTATTTGAGAGTGAGAGAGAGCAAGAGTGGGGAGGAGGGGCGCAGGGAGAAGGAGAAGCAGACCCCCTGCTGAGCAGGGAGCCCAGGCGCTGGGCTCGATCCCAGGACGCTGAGATCAGGACGTGACCTGAAGGCAGACGTTTAACCCACTGAGCCACCCAGGTGCCCTCTAAGGCGAGATTTTTCTGAGAGATGACCTTGAGACGAGCCCCCAGGATACTGACAGATTGTTCTGGTGCAGGGACCCACAATCACGCAGTCCTGACAACAAGCTCAGTGTGTTCCGCGCATAGTCGGAGGGCAGTGCGGCTGGAGGAGCGAGGTTGAGGGCCAGGGGCCAGGTCATGCAGAGCCTCGTAGGCTGAGGTACACCATCTGGACTTGAAGTGCAGTGGGAAGCCAAAAGCAGAGGCGTGATGTGATTCAGATTGTTTCAGAGGTTACTGTGGGTGCAGTGTGAAGAGCGGCTCATAGGAGAAGAAGAGCAGTAAGGAGACCTGCTCCAGGTTTATTATGGTGACCCAGCAGACCGTGGTAGCAGTAGGTGGGCAGAAGCTGTTTCAGGAGGTCGAGTGGGAAGTTCTTTTATGCTTCTCTCTCACATTTCCCATCTACCTAGAGAGGATGACTTTGTTACATCTGGTCCACTTCTTTCGTAAAAATAAGTAAGCTAGTGATTACACTCTTGAAGGTAACATAAGACTTCATTACTATTATTTGCGAATGATGTGTGACTTTGAATTTCCTGTGCTTCATTTTCAAAAATTTTACAATAAAATTCTTTTGACTTTTTTATTCTTTACAATAAATTATGTGTCTTGTACATAAAACGTATTTCGATCTGTTCAGAAGGTTGATACATCTTAACTGTTACCCACAAAACACAGCATCGTAGAATGGAGTGAAACTAATTCTACAATACTAGCTGGCTTACTTTGGGAAGTTAAACGTGATTAGATAGAACCCCAAATAGAAGATTTGAGTCTGGAAACTGGAATAAAAATTCAAAAGAAAGTTAACATGCTTGCCTTTGTCCTGGATATGGCTGTGTGCAGATATCTGAGTGCAAAGATCTGTTGATAATCGAAAAGCGATACGTGGCAGCAGAATTTCAGGAGAGGGCTGTGAACCAGAGTTGAATAGGATTGTTTCCCTTAGTGAAGCACTCTCTCTTACACGGGACTCTTGAACTTTCTCTGGTTGATCACTGATGAAATTTTAGAAAGCCAGGGAAGAGTTTTGAAGTTGTTTACCATTGAGGGTAGGGATGACCTTCTCAGGGACAGACAACTAACTGCCACAGTGAGGCAACCCTATTTCTCCTTCCTGCCTCATTTTGACCTGCAGCTTACTAGGAGATGTGTCCCCTTTGGAAGAAAATTAGAGGTACTTCCTTGTTTACATGGTGTGCAGTGGAGGATTCTGCTCTTGGTGACTTGATGGACTCCTGGTTATCTTCCCCATTAATGATTTATCGGCCAGAGCACCTGGGTTCAGCTTGAAGTGGCTCGTCTGGTGATTCAAATTGCAGACAAAATATGACAGGGACTGTGGGATCTGGAAAGTCCCTTAGGGTTGGGAGTGGTTGGGGCACCTTTAAGGGAGAAGTTATCATTTCTCCTAGAGGTGCCTAATTATTCTGTTTGATTTATGTAATGTTTTAAACTGTTGAATTAGCTGCTATCCTTTAGAAATCAGGAGATTTTACATAGAAATATGATTTTCCAGCTTTTCTTGAAAAAAATATAGCAATATTAAAAATCAGATTTTACATAGAAATATGATTTTCCAGATTTTCTTGGAAAAAAAAATCTGGTAATATGGAGCTCTCAACCCTACACACACACACACACACACACACACACACACACATACTACAGGGCAGCATCAACTGGAACAGGATGGTGGTGTTCCTTTTCAGATGGATCTCCTTTGCCACAGTCCCCACCACTGTTTTGTCTGTCACTCATGTCCGGTTTAGCTCATTTGAGTTACCAGGCTGTCCCTCACAGGCTTCTGATCTTAAACCTCAGGTTTAGGGCTACCTAGTCCTGCCTGTCCATCCCCCTTCTACCTGTAT